CATCTATAGTCCTTCTAGGGAATGGTGAGTGGAGTCAAACTGCCGACCTTGTGGGTAGCATCCCTGTAAGTTACAGACTTTGTTTCCCATCAAGGATCCTCTGAAAGTACCAAGTATCATCAATATAAGTCCAGATGGCAAAAGTGAATTGTAATCCAATCAATTAGTATGGGACATTCTTTAGGATATATTCTAGCAATTCTGTACTCAAGATCAAAGAGTCTTCCAATAGCTATGTCCTCAGAATCTTTCTACTCTGCTGTATAGCCATAGCTTGGCTTCCCTTGGGCCAGTAATCATGCGAAGATGCTGACATAAATCAGGAAACCCAGGCTGGCAGAATTCAACAAAGATTTTAAACTGTTAAAAAAAAAACCAACCAAACTTTTAGGGATCCTCATAGTGTTTAGGAAAATCTTTTCACAAGACTATGTCCTTCTCAGTGTGTTCCTGGGGTAAAAGTGATATATTGGTATCACTTCTAGTGTCAATTTCAGGCAAGACTTTGCTTTGTTTTTTAAGGAAAATGTAACCTTCAGCTAAAGTCTTATCAAATGAATAGAAAAACAAAGGATTTAAAGACATAGTAGCTGACAGAGGAACAAAAGAAGTGGGAGCCAAAATTTGGCATTATAATTCTTTATTCTCTTTAGTTAATTTAGAGATAGTGCCCAACAGGGAAGCAGTTTTACTGTCTAGATACCATTTTAACAAAAACATCAAACTCAACGTCATGGAGTTGATTCAGATGCATATACTGGGTTTTCAAAGCTGTTAGCTATACATGGTAAGAGATGGTCCATCTTTTTCACCTGGAGTAGACAGCAGATTTAGACCACTGACCTTCCAGGCAGCAGTGCAACATGCAATGAGCTATGTCTTAATGTAACAATCAAAATAGTCATCCTGCTAGAACTGTTTAATCTGCGACCCTTGGTTCTCTAATTTAATGTACAGGTGATTTAAATTTGAATGCTCAAAAGAATTCCAAAGTAACTACTGATTAAGTTGTCTTGAGTGAAATTGTGCCTGACATGCATGCTAATGGACCAAATGCTTGTTCATGCAGCAGTGAGAAGCCCCAGAGGGTAGCTTCAAATCACTTAAACTGGTGATATGTGCCATCAAATCAACTACAACCCACAGTCACCCTGTGATCATAATCCTGCCCTGTCTTGCATCATCTCATGAACTCTGTCATGCTTGAGCCCACTGTTACAGTCGCTGTGTCAATCCAACTTGTTAAGCATCTTCCTCTCTCTCTCTACGGCCCTCCACCTTTCCCAGCATGATGTCTTTTTCCAAGGACTGGTGCCCCCTGATATCATGACCAAAGTACTTGAGACCAAGTGACACCATTATTGCCTCTAAGAAACACCCTGTTTGCACTTCTTCTAAGACAGATCTGTATGGTCTTTTGGCAGTCCGTGGCATATGCAGAACTTAAATACCACACTTCAAAGGTATTTATTCTTCTGTGAGCAATGTCAAACTTTCAGATGCACAGAAAGCAACTGACAATACAATTGCTTTCAAGAACACCTTACTCTTTAAAAGGACACTGTTGTTCTTTAGCCCCTTGTCCTTTAGTCTTTGGCAGCACATTTTCCCAATGCAACTCATCTTTTGAGTTCTTGACTTCTGCTATCATGAGTGTTGATTGTAGAGTCAAGTAAAATGAAATCCTTGATAATTTCAATTTTTTCCTCCATATTTCCTGATATTATCTATGGGTCTGAATCTCTTACAGACATATTACTCATTTTATAATGGCAATCACAGCAAAGCAAACATCACCCTATATAAAAATAAATGAAAACAAACCCACTATAAAACTCTAAGAACTATCAGTACAAGGGGAGCAAAGCTTAGATTCAAGAGGTGTTTACCTTAAACGATTCCCGAGGATTTCTGGAAGCAAAGAGCCCAAAGTGGCTCAGTAGGTACCATGCCCATGCCCAGATGCCCTGGGATCGTCAAAGATAATGTACCTTCAAATCTCGCTTCTGACCCCAGGACTGTCACAGAACAAAATCAGGTTCTGGTAAGAACGAGAGAAACTGAGTTTTACTGAGGAGCAGCTGAGCAGTGTGAATTGAAAACACAAATATACTGCTGTCTCTGTTGTTACTGCTGTTAGCTGCCCTTGAGTTGGCTTTCATTCATAATGACCCTATGCACAATATAGCTCTGAACCCTGTCCTGTCCTGTGCTAATCTCACTGCCTCTGACACACCTATCCCCATTATGCCAGTTACTACTTTTCTAAGGAGTTAGATCTTTTTATGCATAGAGAACAGAAGAAAAGCAGAGAGTTAATTCTTGATTCTGCTTCAGCTTTGGAGCCTTATGAAATGTAAAGGTTAGTAGTGTGACTAGGAGTGTGATTAGGTTATACATATTTTTTTCTAGGAACAAATTGCTTCTATCCTGACCTTTTCTTCCTGGAAATGCATACTGATACCACCTTTCGTGCCAAGACAGGTACCTTCATGTTTGAAATTTTCCATCTGTTCACACACATACTACACAATCATCTATCACTTAAAATCCATGATAAAGTCTGTGAACTAAAAGGTTATGTGATCTGGACGCTGTGCAAGTATCATGTTTTACACAGGCAGTCCCAATATTATGGATGAATTCCTTCCCTAAATCTTGATTTAAGTTGAGTTTGTAAATAAATCAGAACAATTAGGTAATTCATAACTAATGTCAGTTGGTCAAACGTTTGTCTTAGTATATAATGTACATTTCTGTGCATAAAAACCATCAAAGAAACACTTAAATATCCTTCACATAAAAATAAAGTAATAATAATGTTTGAATATTTTTTTGTTAGTTACATGCTATCGAGTTGGACAGACTTATCACTAACCCTTTAGCAGATTTCAGAGGCTTTAAATTCTTCCATGGAAGAGCAAGTGGATTCAAACTGTCTGCCTTTGGGCTGACAGTGCAACTCCTTACCCACTAAGCCACCAAGGTTCATCACAGAGTAGAACCTCTCTGTTACTACAAACCATTGTATATACTATATGCATCTGTGCTTTGTCCAAATGGACATTATATGACGAATGTCTGCTTAGCTCTGAATTAGACAATGGTAAGAACTAGAAGGAGTCGTGGAACCTAGCTTTAGTTCTCTTTTTATATATTAGGAATGTCACGTTTGAAAAGATATTTATGAAAACCCAGAATGAGTTCAACATACTTTTTTTTTTTAGTTCAGCATTCTAATGAACTCACTTCTTTTTTTTAAAATATTTTTTTTATTGGGAAAAACCATATTGGGGGTACAAGGAGGTGAGGGTTGGGGGCAGAAGGGTGAGGATGGGCCAGGATGCAGTTGCAGAGCTGCACAGTTTGGTCGGTGGGGGGAGCAGGTGAAGGAAATGATGAGGGTCCAATGGGAACAAGATGCTACAGAGGAATGACAAGCATTTTCCAATAGTAATTA